TATATATATATATATATACACATACATATATACATATACACTACATACATATATATATTATATATGTATATATATAATATATATAATTTTATATAAATTTTAGGCAATAAATATGTTGAGTAACATTTGTCTTACCATTATTGGTTGATTGGGTTGAGGTGCATGCATAAACATTTCTTCTTCATCGTCTGTCTCAGGAGGAGGCGGTCTCGGAGGTGGGATATTGCTTCCAGGCAAAGGTGGACGAGGAGGTGCCACTTCTACATACATAATAATAAAAATAGCATTTTTCAAAAATATAAGTGTAAAATTTTGTAATATAATTGCATTATATTTTTTTTCATCGTGTAAAAAAAACTCCAAAGTAATGCATAAAAATCTAAATCTAATCTGTTACAAGAAATTATAATAAATAAGATTCTGTGAAAAATTGCTTTATGATGAGTTGCATGCGCATTATTACTAAAGAATAGATATTGCTGCACAAACAATATATGAGACAAGTAGATAAACTATTGTAAATATGTGAGTTACAATTTTTTAAATAATATTATGATTTATTATAAACTTAATAAAATGTTATGAAGTTTATTATTTTTTATTTTACATAAATTCCTCATATAGCATGTTATTAATGAAAAGGAAAAAAATGGAGAAACTAATAAATCATGCTATAAAAAAGCAGATATGTTTAAATAATTACCGTCGTCGATATTATAATCGTAATAAACTGGTAATCCATGTAGCATTAAAAGCAAAAATGCATTACATTAAAATGTAGAACAAATTTCATAGAATATGTTTCCACATGCACGTAATTATACAGTGCTATATGATCCTTATAAACTTCAATCCTATATTTCGAACTATTCAGAAGTATTTTAGTACGGAACTTTTGGCGGGCACTATATAGGTATTATGTTAGCATAAAGTTATATTTGAATGTAAAAATACATAAATATTTGCGACAATATTTTATACCTCAATGAGCTATCATTAAACAAGTTTTTTATGTATCATAATTATAATAATCTTCAATTATATATGATTTGGTATAATAAACTAAAGATTAATGGAAATGTGTTATGAAATTATAATAATCATGAACTGCTGTTATGAAGATTATTTGTTATTGCGAGCAAAATGTAGTTTGATTTATTAAATATAAGATAGGAATTTGTGTCAAATATATCTTAAGTTTATGCTCGTTTAAACGTGTAATAAAATTTATATAAGTAGTATAATCACTTATTTAAGTTTTAGAAATAATAAAGTATATCATATCCTTTCTTTTAATATATGTCTACTTCATATCATTAGAATCATATAACGTTTTATATATGCTTTATCTTCAATTATTGCATGCTTCATATAAGGAAAGGGAAACATTAAAACATTAAAAACACAATATTTATTTACGGACAAATGATTATTATAAATTACCTCCGTCATGAATCGATTTGTCTAACTCGTCGGAAGCCAATTCTTGACACAAAATATTGGGGTTCTCTACTAATTGGAGTACAAATATAATTAATATTACTATCCGATACCAATAAATCAAATTATTAATCATTGTTACTCTGATCTGCATTTTACATATGATAAAAATGAATACGAGAATGTTAATGCAATGATGTTAATGTAAAAATAATATTAATCTAATTTTATATCAAATGTGTAATATGGAATGTACATAATAAATGTGTGAATTTGCATACGCACACATACATATAAATATTATGAACACATACATGTATATTTGTTTATAATACTATATTAAATTATATAATCTTTATCAATCTTTATCAAATAGCTTCAAAGATAAAATGTATTTGTAAAATTGTATTGCACACAGCCATGCATAAATCATATCATGTAAAAAACCAGATACCTTTATTTTTGGAATAAGTATATCGGATTGGAATTTGATCTGTAAAAGATATATTCAACAAACTTATTCCAACTTATTCTTTATCATTTACTATTAAATTGATATTATGCATTTCATTTTCCCCGTGATATTTTATATATTTTATTTATACTTGTGCCTAAATATATATTACATTGTTTTTTATTTAACAATAATAAGATTGTAAAAACTGTAATAAACTTATTGCGAAAAATAATGCCTCGGCCGGGAGTCGAACCCGGATCTCTTGCTTTCCGTGCGAGCGTCCTAAGCCTTTTTAAATTGGGAAATTTGGGGGGATTATTAATATTTCAGATTTGATTGTGTTGAAAGTCCGACAACCATATCGGCACGCAATTATAATTTCTGAAATTAATTCATTTAAAATGAATTTAGAATAGTTCAACATCTTAACGTTCAGACCGTTAGTGGCGCTTCTTTTTTTTAGTTTAAAGTTTTTTATTTAAAGATTTATTTTTATATCATCATCACATAAAAATTATATATTATATAGGTATTTTTTAAATAATATTGTGTGAAAAAAAGCATTATGATTTAACTAAATATTAAAAAAAATTAAATACTAAATTTGATAGCTATTATAAATATTATTCTATGCAACTATTGCCTATATTTATATTTACATTTACTCATTTAACTTCATGCTTAACGCATGATTTAGTTGAAATTGAAGCATTAATGCTTCAATGTGATCTGATATTGACGATGCCACCCAAAATCAAACTGATAAGATATCTCTCTCTCTCTCTCTCTCTCTCTCTCTCTCTCTCTTCTCTTCTCTTCTCTCAGTAATAGATATTTTTAAACCCTACAACTTTATCTGAAACATTTTTCCAATAAACCAATACTTTCTGAGATAATTAGCCATTCCGGGACTGTATAACGCTCCATTTATAAATTAAAGAATAAGTTTAATAAATAATTACTACTTTTATAAACTAATTCTCTCTTTTCTTATAAAATAATGTGTCAATTAATTACTAAAAATTGCGTCAATTAATTATTAAAAGATGATTACTAAATCAATTTGGTTTTGGCTTCTATTTTAAAAAAGGCTTCATTTTTAGGAATATTTAGCGTGTGTATTAAATCTAAAAAATGAACTTACCGTCATTAATATGTAACTGTGACATTTCTAGAGGCGGCACCAAATCTGGCTGGATTACAATAGCTTTCCGAACTTGTCCAACATTGGCTAACAACTACAAACACAACCATATAAAATACATATTGAATATCTGTTTAATATATATGTAATATACATATTGTGTTAAATACACATATTGAATTTTTATGGAATATGCTAGCCAAATAAGAGATACATACTGCACGATTATTTTCTCTCCAGTGTGATACGGCAGTGTTGTCATGGATGTTCATTGCTACCAGTTTTGCATCTTGGACCATTGGAGCAACGCCTATTAAATGTAATAAAACAATTAATTACAGAAAAATTGTAAATAAAACTTTCTTCAAGTTTGTATTCATATAAATTTCACTCCTTTTAAATTAAAATTTTTTTTGTTGAATTAAGGCTCCTGAGTACTTATCTTACATTAAATTATGACGTCATAAGCGAGAAATGTATCATAAGCGATATGTTGATTTTCCTTGCGTATCATTTTTATAAATACTCAGGAGTCTTAAATTTATTTTTATCGATCCAAATTCGTATTATATTATTTTTATTTCAACCAAAAAATCAGATAAATACCTATGTTTAACAATCATACATATAATATATCTGTAGGTTCCTGAGATCATTTTGAGACGAAAATTCTAATACCAAAAAGTCGAGGATAATAATAATATCGATATGAGCATTTATAATTAACGAATCATACCGCCTAAATCAGATCTCATCTAAGATAATTAAAATATAAGATATATTAATTATCTCTCTATTATATATTAATTATAATAATTATTATTATTATTGCATTATTACTATAATTGTAAGATTATTAAACAATTGGAAAGTATTAATATATATATAAATAGTACGTACTGCTTTGAAGAACATCGGTAGCGTGATTTACTCTTTGTATAAAGGCAGGATCCTCGCTGTTGTCACTTTCCTGTTTTGCCACGAGTATAACTCGATTTGCAAGACGTGCGATAGATGCTGTATTATCAACCATCTTCTGTGGTAGGGCCTTAGCAATCGCTTCTTCGCAAAGGAATGAATGCTTCTGCATCTGTTCCTCTGAAATTTTGATAAAATCGCCGCTATTGGTCGCTTCATCGCACAATGCTCGTGCCCGTTGCATAATTTCGGCATATTGTTGTCGCAAATTTTCGAAATGCTCATCCGCGGCTTTGCTGTCCGGATAAGTCATGCGAATCCGTCCGGCATTGATCAATTGTGGTGTCAAGGATTCCACTTGTGAGGCACTAGCAGATAGAGCTTCGGCCAATTTCTTATTTCCTCCACTTCCTGCAACAATGCGATGAATTTAACCATTTAGAAAGAAAAGAGAAAAACAAAAAAGAAGAAATGTTTCCCCAAAGAAAAAGACTGTTTTATATTATGTCTCTGCTAACTCTCTAAAGCCTTTTTCTTTTAAATAATGCAAAATTTGTGTACAATATTAAAATATACGATATTACATACCGCCAGCTGCGACCATCCTTGCAGTCTTTGCCGCTCTATTCGAGAACGTCTGCAGTGCACACGTTTTGTCATTAAAATTTTGTTCACGTCCCGGTGTGCCTGCGGGAGTTAAAACAGCATCTGTGAATTGTTTTAAAGGTGTAGTGATGTCAATAAAGTCCTCAACGACGCGAGATACAACGGCTTGTTGTATCCTGTTCTTCAACTCGTAAAGTTTGTGGGATAGCTGCCGTGCAATATCCTGAGCATGTGGAGTGTTGCCTTGGCCATGGGCGCAGAGGTCAGCGAGTTGATGAGATAAGTTGTCTACTTCATCGCATAATTGCAAAATCTCTGCTTTGTGTATACCTGGCAAGCCTTCGGCCACCTATTACTCGAACATAAAGTTGTCAATATTAATAAAGAACACGAAATAAAAAAAAATAATGCACTGCAAGCATCACAAATTTTCTCTTTTCGAAAACGAATTTTTGATAATTTAGAATAGATATAGTTGTTTGTTAGTATGCATACGCTATATCATTAAAAAAAAAAAAAATATATATATGGGATTTATTTTTACAAGATTTTAAATATATTTAAACTGAGCTTCAAATAAAAGTTTATCTATAGAATTATAATTTAAAGTTTAGCAAATTTTATTAAAACTTAGAAATTTATTTATTAGCAGAATTTTCATTTATACCATGCAGATTAGCAAAATATTTAAAAATTCTACTGAAATCATTCTTGTCTATAAATTTCGAAGAATTGTACTGTCATCGAAGTCGAATTGATATACAAAATTTGTGATATTTGGAATACTCCATATGGCTCTCAGCTATAATAAACATTGATAATAAACATTATGTTGGAAAAATAACAAAATGTATTTACAGACTCACATTTGCTATAGGTTGTTCATTCTTTCTATGCGCAGCATTGAAGATATCAAGCATTATAGAATAAATATGACTTTTTTGAAATATTATATATAAAAAATCAACGATAATAATGTGCTACCATATTTACATCATGTATGCAATAAATATTTACGACCGAAATGATTGTATCGACAGGAGATGATTACATCATACCTTCTTTCCCTCGTGTATTATTAAAGCTATAGCCCTTTTACCGAGTCCCTTGTCATCGTGTTGTGGATTCAGAAGCCATTTATTCGCTTGTTCTAATCGACCTGCCACTGTGTGCGCTGTTTGCGCAGTTCCCGATTTATCCGCTGCTATCAAAGCAGATGCTATCAAACCGCGAAGCTCATTCAATTTCTCTTTAATACTGCGTGCTAAGGCTTCCGCTTGGGGTGTAGTGCCTTCGTATAGACATATACACGTGATTAGTTAAACAAAATCAAGTTCTTGTACTAAATGCATATATAACAAGAGTAAACATGACATAAAGATTGTGTTCCGTTATTCACTGAAAATCTATAGTCCACATTGTATTTTTTTTTTGGTACTCGCAGTAAATAACGAAACGCAACCACATTTATATGACACAAGTTACCTTTCTCATTTTGGCGTAATTCGCAAAGAGCATCAGTCATAGTGACAATTTGTGATGCCAATTTAGATATAGGTTCTGCCTGCGACGGAGATAGATAATGTTCCGCCAAACGCGACGCCTGTTCTATTATTTGACGAAGACTTTTTTCACCTACTCCACCTCTTAGAGCCAATCCATCATCTAACCAATCGTAAGCCGCCCGTATCCTGGATTCTATAGCGCTTTGAGCCTTCTTCAATACCTGATAAAATATAAAAATATAATCATTTATTATCTTACTGTTAATTAAATTTGCATGATTGCATTAAACGAAATACAAAATAAATTACAGTTAATTGATCAGCATCCCATTCTTCTTCGTCATACGTTGTTAATTGCAATACCCGAATAATTTCATTCAATTCATCAGACATTCTTCCAGACAAATAATTACGATTTTCTGCTGCTTCGTCCGCACCTTTCCCACCTTGTGAAATGATATGGATAAAGATCTTCATAGAACAAATTAGAATTGGTGCGAGTGTTTTCACCTGCAAGTGTATTAAGCATTAATATTTTAAATCATTGGTTGTACGCATTATTTCATACTACAGTGGCATTAATCTATATTATAAAATGATATAAAATAATCGTATAAAAATTGAAAAAAATATGTAAATGTAGCCTCTTAACACTCACTTGCTCTAAGCAGCGCACCAATATCTCCCGATGTACTTGATGTGTTAACTCCTTTTCACGAGCGCTCACTTCTCTTGACACTTTGCTGAGGCACGGACTTAAATTCTTAAGAAAATGTACTAGATCTTCCATTGTTTCAATAACTTCGGTGACAGCCAAATAATCTAATACACGTTTGCATTCTCGTATAATTTTTCGTACTTCACTTTCATCAAAGCAGAGAAGTAAGGAACTTGTGCCTTGCAAAATACCGCGTGAGCCTTCTATAAGCTTTTTTCTTAAAAAACAAAGGCAACATGGATTTATATAGCATTTTAAAATTTAATTTCATATAAAAATTTCTTAAAATTTTACCTAGCAGGTCCAGAATACGGATCTTCCTTTAACATTGCCGATGCTTCCTCCAGAAGACGGGAAGCACCTTCAACACGTTGCAATGCTGCTGGCATGTCTTGTTTAAGTAAAGCATCATCAGATGAGTTTATAGTTTCTTTTCCAACCTGAAACAAGATAATGTAATAAAATAAAGTTTTATAAATGTTTGCAATTATTTTTATACAGAAATCTTTTTTTTTAAAGCAAAAACTAAATTCTAGAATAATATGGCGTTCAAAAAATACATATTCGAACAAAAAAATTTCACAGAGCCTGAATAAAAAACTAGTGTGTACTGAACTTTTTAACTTAAATTTCAAAGTTTTTTTCAGTAATTTTTATCTTTTTTTAGTTGCAAACACTTACTTTCACAAGATTAGTTACAGCCATGCTAACAGCTTGTACAGGCCTTCCCAAATCTGGCATTGCATTTCCATCTTCGGCTTCTTCATGTAAGATAACAAGTCTTGATACCTACAGAAAACAGTTATGAATATTAGTCTAAATGATTTACATTCACAAAAAAAAGCAAATTTATTAATTTATCGCACGGAATGCAAGAGATCCGAGTTCGACTCCCGGCCGAGGCATTACTTTTCGCAATAAGTTTTATTACAGTTTTTAAGTTGGGGAATTTGGGGGGATTATTAATATTTTCAGATTTGATTGCGTTGAAAGTCCGACAACCATATCGGCACGCAATTATCATTTCTGAAATTAATTCATTTAAATGAATTTATAATAGTTCAACATCTTAACGTTCTGACCGTTATGGCGCTTCTTAATTTAAAATTATTATGTTTAACATTAGCGGTCTTTCAATCTTATTATTGTTATTAATTTATACTTGATAAATTTATAAATTTATATTATGATAAATTTATTTACTTCTATCATATTATTTATATCAATTTGTAAATTTATATTATAATATGTAAATATTATAACATAAAGGAGGGAGTCGAAAAATAGCCAAAATTGGCCCTAAATGGACACTATTAAAACCTATGCAATTGTCATTATGAAAGTCCATACATTTATGGAATAATGCTTATTTATTCAAGAAAGCTTAGGAAACCTAAAAATAATAAAATAGGTCGCTTAAACGCTATGCAAAGAAACTCAATGTTTCTAATAAACGATGATAGATTTCAAAATTAATGGTGTATTTACATTTAGCAGAAGTTGGATCATGAAATACTATAAGAATACATTACTAGGAAGATCTACAAATATACAGGGTGTCCCATTTTAAATAATGCATTAAGATTTCTCGAAAACTATAGTAGATATGGGAAAATGTTTCAAACAAAAGTTGTATGGTTCAGAGGAGGATATAAGAAGGTACCATTGATTTGACCTTGAGTGGCGTCGCTAAGGCCAGGTCAAGGTCACGTCGATTTTTTTAAATGGAACACCCTATTTTTCATTACATTTTCTTGTAGCTTACCTCGAGAATTTTTAAAAACACTATAATAAAGTTATTTTTCATTAAGTACTTTTCGAGTTATAATGCTTGAAAGTTACAGTACAGCGCTGACAATAGCATTACGCAAGGTGTCCGATTGACGGCTAAAACCTCTTGAATGTTGTTCAGGATCATGTCCTGGATAACATTTGTCAAGATCAAGGCCATTGGAGATTATTCCTCTTATTTTCTTTTTTGCAATAAAAATTCATTTTTATGTAAAATGTCCGGTCGGAAACCTTGGGTAATGCTAATGCCGGAGGTACTGTAACTTCCAAGCCTTATAACTCAAAAAGTATTTAATGAAAATGAACTTAATTATAGTGTTTTGAAAAGTTCTCGAGATAAGCTATAAGAAAATGTAATGAAAAATAGGGTGTTCCATTTAAAAAAATCGACGTGACCTTGACCTGACCTTGGCGACGCCACCCAAGATCAAATCAATGGTACCTTTTTATATCCCTCTCCGAATCAAACAACTTTTGTTTGAAACATTTTTCCGTATCTACCATAGTTTTCGAGGAATCTTAATGCATTATTTAAAATGAGACGCCCTGTATATTTGTAGATCTTCCTGGTAGTGTATTCTTATAGCATTTCATAATTTAACTTGTGTTAAATGTAAACACACACCATTAATTTTGAAATCTATCATCGTTTATTAGAAACAATGAGTTTCTTTGCAGAGCGTTTAAATGACCTATTTTATTGTTTTTGGAAGGTTTCCCAAACTTTCCTGGATAAATAAGCATTATTCCATGTACGGACTTTCAAAATGACAACTGCATAGGTTTTAATAGTGTCCATTCAGGGCCAATTTTGGCCATTTTTAGATTCTCTCTTTTATATAAGTAAAACTGTTTGTAAAGCCTTGCATAAAATATTACTTATGTATATAATTAATTTATACAACTAATATTTGTTAAGACTTTTAAATAATTGCCGCGGCCATACATTATAGAATCGTGACGTCATAAGCGGAAAATAACACGTTAAAGTTTCTTGTGTGCCATTTGTAAATAAAGAGAATTTGAACGAAATAAAATAATGAGGACTTTAAAACACTTATAAAAATGGGCCAAAATTATTTCTTTTAACAATCAGTAAATAATCGTAAAAGGCACGTAAACTGAAAATAGGCTACGTATGCGCATTAATTAAAGTAAAAGCTGGTAAACGCTCTTTATCTGCTTATTTATTGACTGAAAATAAATTCGCCGCGCAGTTTAAAGAATTGGATATGAGTATATAAATTTACACAGAATTTTTTCAGCACTAAAGATCCAGCTTGACCATTTAGAGTCTTTATTTCCAATTCGTTTGTTAGTTATATTATGATCTTACTTCGTATTATTTATTGACTGCCAAGAAGGGAGGGAGGGAGGAAGTAAGGATAAATTTGGCCCATTTTTACAAGTGTTTTAAAACGAACTCATTATTCTGTTTTACCCAAATTTTCTTTATTTACAAATAGTATGCAAAAAATTTCAACATATTTATGTAAAAAAAATCATATAATTTCATTTAAAAAAGTGAAGATGATTTTTTTGGCGCTTCTACCTAGAAAAAAACGTGATAAAAAAATATATCTCTTTCGAAAACGTTCCACTTTTATTTGAAATGTTTTTCCATATTTTTGGAGTTATTGACTTATCACATTTTACATGAGTCACCCTATATATACATATATATGCGCGCGCGCGCGCGCGTGTGTGAAATAAATTATTATCATATGTATGTTACTATATGTATTATTTTACAATTTTATTTATATATATATATGTTGCATAAAATTATTATTGAAATATTAATTTTTAAAATAAAATATCTTAAATTTTCCATTTAAAATAATTAACAAAGAGGTCAAAAGTTAGCTTATAATTTATATTTGTGATTAACTATATATATCATGATAGTAAGCTTAGAAACTTTGTTACATGTATATTTGGAGCACCTCGTGAAATAAATCTGGATAGATTCCAATCCTAATTATTCCATTTTCGCTAGAAAATAAAAATCTAGGAAATAATTGAATAATTCCGATTGAAATCCATTCCAAATAATTCCATTATACATATCCAGTTATCTCATTTATATCGTGAAAAAATAAGTGCTATAAAAAGTTATAAACAAAAAAAATAATATTATTGCTGTTTATGATAAAAATACATATTTAAATTCAGACATATTAAAATATAAAATCAATGTTGGTTCATTAGTATTCTAATATGTGGGAACGTGTGGGATGATGTGATACTATATGCTCCAACATGTCCTTATTTGGACAGGTTGGAATTAGTAATACGCGGGGAAGATTTTCCTCTCAGCCAAAGAGATTAAATTTCATTTTAGAAACTGTGTGATATGTCTGAAGGATAGATACAGCAGCCCTGTTCTATATATAGGATATGATGTCATAGTCCTATAAAAAGCATTCTAGATGAAACAACGAGGTTATTCTCTGTAAATTTGACTTGTCAAAATATAAGCTCGAATGACAGTCATCAGCTGAAAACGGTTAATTTTTGTTTTTTTTTACTATCGATATTAAATGCAATTTTTGCAGCAAACAAACAACGAATGTATTAAAACAACGAATGCATTGAAACAACCTCAATAAAGCTTAAAAATTAAATCGGGCCATGGATAGAAAACATTTGTAGATGGCAAGCATTTGTTTACTCAACGAGAAATCATATCATTTTTTTTTCAAATATATTTTTATTTATAAATGATATTTTTGCAGTTAATTAAATTAACGTATAACATTCCCCAAAATTTCAGAGAAGATCACGACGAATTTCTTGATGAAATAATTCGGCAATAGTTTCGATGACAATTATAACAAGGAATGAGTCCTTTGACACTTGAATTACCTGCTGAGCCACTGGCTCGAGAATACTCTCGATAGTCTTGGTATGGAAGACAGGCATTTTTATTCGATTTTTAGATTACGGTGCGAAAATAACGAAAATAGAAAGGTGAGTTCTCGGTACAAGATCTCGTACGATAAGAGACACGAGTTAAACTCAATAGGAGAAGATTAAATGACACCCATCCCCTGCTTTATTTAATTCGTTTTGAGTTATCTACCGCACACGATCCGACTGACTTTGATCACTCTGGTGCACTCTGGAGTTTCGAGTCAGACAGCACAGTATATACATTACAGGCTGCGTTCGGAAACGTCGCTCGGATGCCTCGAGGTTTGTCGCGTTGCAAGCTCCAACATGCTCCAACATGCTCCTATCTTAGCTCCTATGCTGGATTCACACTGCATCCGATTTTCGTCGTACGACGCTTTGCAACCAATTAGAAAACAGGATTCCGATGAATTTTGCTTCGTATTATCGGAATCCTGTTTTCTGATTGGATGCAGAGTGTCGTACGACGAAAATCGGATGCAGTACCTTGACGCATTTATATATTTGGCTATCGCAACAAGCTTGCGACCTGCATTCTGCGTGCTATGTAGATACGGTTTTATGGCATTTTTATAGAAAGAAAATAGTAAACTGGTCATGCGATTTGCTGGATTCATACTGGATCCGATGTGCGTCGTATGACGCTCTGCAACCAATCAGAAGACAGGATTTTGCTTCGTATCATCGATACGAAATAAAATTCTGCTTTCCGATTGGTTGCAGAACGTCGTACGACGCACGTCGGATCCAGTGTGAATCCAGCATATGCATTTCCTATAGCAAAAATGAGGAACTAGCAGTCCATGTGTAGTCAAAACTTTAAGGTGTAGGTCTAATGGAAATCCATAAATTCCTTTTACATGCGAACGTCAAGCGCCGAGCATCAAAGCATGTGCAATTAGTAGTGATATTAGTTTATTTTTACACTAGAAATTCTCTAATAAAAGTCACATGAGAAAAGTTGCGCACTCATTGGTCCGCCATATTTTATGAATTCCCACTCTATATTTACATATCTACATTCGTGTTACTTTTAAATTTCAATATAATTAAAATTAAATATTTCAAAGATGTTAAAAAATACATTTCTTTACATTACGTATCGAAATAATGTATGCAAAAATTGTTTAGTTTAACTAAGTTTTTTTTACCAAATTATTTTGAAAATTTAAAGATTTAATTGTATATCTTGAAACAAAGTTAAAAAGTGAGCAAGTTCATTGGAATATTTATAATTTCATTAGTAATAATTTACTCAATTTTGTAATTTTCATATATTTCAAGATACACAATCTATACTTTGGTACCTAGAAAAAAAGAAATTAAATATTTTTATACTTTTAACATTTATTTTACAAATTATTGTTCATCGCAAATGCAATGACTTTGATGGCGCGCTCCTCGAACATGGTTTTAAAGCATTCCAGTTTCAAGCGCTATTATTTAATGATAGCTTAAATAAATTCTATTTGATTTTCTGAATTCGCAAAAAATTTTTTTATTGCTTACGATTTAAAAAATCTTAATATTGTAATTTTTTCCTAATCGTAAGAACAAATTTATTCTTAAAATGATTAAAGATGAGTGTGAAAAATAAAATAATATGCATATACATACACGTTAAGAGATATGTATAAAATTTTATATCATATTTACACTTTTTTGATATCTTATTTTCTTTTTTTCATTTTTTTAAATTCGCTTTGCTGAATAGCAGCTTCACCAAAAATTTCATTTACTTTCTGCTTGCGTTCGGTATCACTCTTAATTTGCTGCCCAATTTGTACTTTGGCTAAAAAGTCCCGATCTCTTCTTATTTCACGAATTGCGCCTTTGCACTCCCTTTTATATTTATGCAATAGTTTTTCTCTTTCTGCTTTTTCCTTTGATGTGGATTTATATCGTTTTCCACCATATCTGCAAAAAAATATTTGAAATATATATTAATATACTATAATACTAGATAATACTTCAATAATTTTAAAATTATTTACATGCGCTCTCTCTCTCTCTCTCAACATTTAAGTATACAAAAATAATATATGTGCAGGAAGAGCGAACTCTCTTCTAAACTCTCTCTTCTAAACTCAGTCGAAAAGTCTTATATCATTTTGCAATTTTCGCAATAGTTACAAGAAATTAATTACTAAAGATCGCCGAATGAGCGCGTATCTGTCCGGCTTATCATCAAATGCAAGCGCGAAGAGATGCGATTGCCCAGAGCTATATTCAAATACTGCATTTAGATGAACCCCCAAGTATCACCTTGTCCTCGTTTAACATTCAGTGAACAAAAAGGATATAAGTATACGTAAATGCTACTCCAGTAGTTTTTGAAAGCGGCTTAACGATTTTAGTTGTTAGAATATGGTTATTAGAAAATGGTACAGGACTTTTTGACTCAGTTTAGTTCGCTCTACCTGCACACAAGTGGTTTGTCAAAAACTATAGGATATTGTTGTATACAAAATAAATTATAATTATAAATTTATGAAATTATATAAATTAAATTTAAAAAATCTTTAATAATTACACTGTCATTATTTTTGGCTCATAAGTTTTTAAAGGTTTCGGCCTTTTCTTTTCTTGCACAATATATTCCAATTTTTTATTTCGTAGAAATTCGAGTTCCGTACGCAGTTTTTTTATATGATCTCTTATGTATGGTGGATGCTGTTTGAAGTCATTTATTTTTAACAATTGAAGAATATGCTCAAATATTGGATATACTGCTTCTAATTCTTGAAGCTGGTTTTTGAATTCGATAAGCAGATTGACTGCAGTCAATAAAGATTTTATTCTAAATATATCATCCAATTCCTCGTGGATTAAATCACTTGCAAACATATGAGTGCTGTTTGGATCAATTGTATTTTCGGCTTTATTGACTACTAGAGCTTTATATGCAGTTTTGAATGGTGGAATAATTTTCATATTTTGTGTCAAGCTTGTAGGCGTCGCTATGTAGATAATGCCTCGTAAAAAATTAATCACAGATGGTGCAAATCGCTTGCTTAATATTGTATACTGCAATTTAAGAAAGATTAAAATAGCATATATTTTCTCAAATTAATGTTGCAACACAAAATATAAATAAAATATAATATACTCACTTCTAAAATAAGGGTGCATACAAAAAGACCTTTCGAAATATCACTTCGATATTTTCTGATACGAGCTTTCAATAAAATTTGTGACATAAATGTTAAACAAGGAGTAACAACAGGATGTTTGAAGTCAGATGTCGGAAACAACAAGGACACCAATTTAAAGAATATAAGCTGAAAAGTAATACATAAATCTTATATACAGGGTAGTCTATTTTAATCCATAAAATATCTCAAAATCCTTAAGTTTAAGATAAAAATGTTTCAGAGAAAAATTGCTCAGTTACAAAAGGAAAACAAGATGGTGACCTTGGTTAACCTTGAGAAGATGTCCTAAGGTCAGATCAAGGTTACCTAAAATGTTTTGATTGGAATTATACATTTTTTTACATAATATAATTCCCCTAATTATTCTACGTATAAAAGTATTAAGGTAAAAATATTAAAAAACCAATAGTTTACAAGATAATTTATACTGGCACATATTGACATTAAATATTTAATATCTTGAAAAATATTAATTTTTTAATAATCGTACCTCAATACCTTTATGAACAGAATAATGAGACGAATTAGTTGGTAAAAAAATTCATATTCTATTTAAAAAAAAATGAAGTTGACCTTAAAATATCCTCAATGCCTCCTCATAAAATAATTGTTTCCACTATATGATCCCTCTTTGTACTGAACACATAGATATAAACTACTTTTTCCTACATCTTCAAATTTCGCTAATAATTAAATTGGTCACTTTATAAGAACTCTGTATAGTCTTACCGTGTCCATGCCAGGATATCTTGTCTTATTTTTTTCAAATTTATCATATTTCTCTTCAATTACTTCTTGTATACAGATTTTAGCATTCTCTGAATTCATATGTGCTAGATCATAAAGATAAGGGCATAATCTAAAATAAAAGTTACACATTAATAGGCACCATTGTACACATATATAGCACTATAATATACATATAAATATATCTGTATTTATAATATAAAGCTAATAAGAGTAATAAGTATACATTTATATCTATTTTATTTATTTATTATACCTGTCAAAGATTTGAAAACATTTAATTAAATCGTCAGCACTTTCTGTGGAAGCACAGTTGTTTATATGTTGTAGTAAATATACAAATAAATTTGACATTTTTTCTCTGTTTCTGCCATCCAATGTCCAATGATTACATTTTATGATACGATCTACAATCACTGATTGATAATCTGCATTGTGATGTCGTAACAATTTTTCTAATTCTTCAAAACTCTCTGGAGCATTATATGTGTAAGATAATTCGTTTCGTGCTTTTTCCATGATCTCTTTTCGCTTCAAGAGATCATTTCTAATCTGCTGTATTTTGTCACATGAATTTTGTACATGTGTACTATTACTTTGTTTCAGTATTGATTTATGAGAAATCTTATTCGATTGATTTATCTGTTTAGTATCTTCTGTCAGATCTGTCAGATCATTACTAAACATAACACGCTTTTTACTTTCATTTACAAATGCAACTTCCGTTTCACTTTCATCTACACAAGATGATTCAGACATTTTTAAATCTGAGAGATCATCTTCAGACTCATTATCCAAGTTTTTAATCTCTGAATCTTTGTCATTCAAATCTGTATCAGATTTATCTTCAGTATTAGATGACTTTGGATACATTCTTTCTTGATTTTTACTACTATCCTTTCTTGTATTTACGTTTTTAACTATTTCCTCATCAACAGTATCTTCTAATTTATTTTCTATCTGATTGTCATCATAATCATCTTCAGCATTATTTTCTTCATTAATATTGGTATTAATAGTAGTCGAATCATCAATAATGTCATCAGTATCTTCAATAGTTTCCATTATAAAGTCATCATCAAGATCATCTGCAGATTTATGTCTGAACTGACTACCAGTATCGCTTATAAATCCTTTCATTCTTGCCAATCTATCAGCTTCAAGTTTTTCCAATTTCTCTTTCTCTTCTTGAATAATTTGTTCTTCTGATTTCAATTTCTCAGATGGATTACCTCTAGCTTCAAATTTTAATTGTCGTACAGCAATATCATAAGTATCAGTTTTCGTTGTTTCATCATTTTCCATAGATTTTTTGGAAGCAGACATAAAGGGTAAGAGGTCTCTCCATTCGGAATCAAGTTTCTCTGTGAGATCTATCGTTTCCTTACGTATTTTTTGTCTTTCTGCCTTTTGTATTTTTGATTCTGCAATGAGCTGATCAATTAGATCTTTTCTAGATAATGTGGTATCTGTTTTTGATAAAATGCCTCCACCAAAATGAGTTTGTACAAAATTTTTATCCAGCTTGCCACTAACATTTTCATTATCGCTGAATTCGTCATCGCTCCTAGGATCATCAAATTTCTCAATCTCTTCAAGAGTTTGTCCTCTATGTGTCAATACTTCATCATTTAAATTAAAAATGCTTTCTTTTTTATGGGCTTTTATGCGTTCTTTGGCAAATCTTGCTGTTGCCTTATCTTCTATGCTCATAGCATAATTCTTTTCACCAATACGTTTGTCTATGAAAACATTGTTTTTATTTTGTAATGTATATTCTTGAAGAAGACTCTGTTTACGCCTATTAATAGCTTTTGCTCTTGAAATTCCTGGAAGTCCACGATCATTTTTACTCTTACGACCCAGTACTTTCTGTTTGTCCCTATTAATATGTACTTCAAATGGATTTAGCTGTTTCTTGTTTTTCTGTTGTATAGATTCGGATAAATTTTTTTTCTTTGTCTTAACCATTTTATGTAATAGTTTTGCGTAATGACGATACCATTTATCATATAAAAACTCAAGCAAAACAATCTAGTTTCGTGCTATTCATATTTAAATGTATATCTTCAAGTATTACTATCAAAACGTGACCATCAATTGCGGCGCTAGATATAAAAAACAATAATAAACATTATTTTATCGGTATAAAATTTTTCTAAACAATATTTTATCATATGGTAACTCGAATCTTTAGCCACATCACCTCACAAATCGATGAAATTAGGCTCATTCGATGCTCCGAAACGAACGAATCTAGCCGAGAAAAACGTCGCTCTGTCCTGCGAACTGAAATATCTATCTTTTATGTCTTTAAGGTACAATTTTAAGACTATTGAGGTTAGGAAAACTGTCACTGGTTATTTGGCTAAAGTAAATAATTACTATATTTTCGTACTTACATAATGTAAATTTTTGTAATGTTTTAAAAATTATTTACATGAAATTTATTTGCAGTAATCTACATATATGTATTTACACGTGCTTTATCATAAAACCAAAACCAAGAAGACTAGAACTAAGGAGAGTCAACTCGTGCCAATAGCGGTAGTGGGGATGAGGCAAAAAGTGGCGACGGATAACTTCCCCCACTCTTGCGCTTCATTAGTCCTCTCTGTCGCTCTATATAGTCGTCGCTCTGTCGTTTTATAATCGTCACTTTGGCCGGTATTCATAGTCAGTTCTTATATTCAAGATCGTCTTAAGTTCAGCCTTGAGGTGTCATGAACCAATCAGAGAGCCGCGTTAGCGTATTAAGACATTACTTAAGATGGTTTTGAAATAAGAACCGACTGTGAATACCGGCCTTTGTCGCTCTTATATCGAACTTTCACACAATGCGCAGTACCGCTGCACATCGTGTGAATAGCCGCGGACGTTTTTTGACTCACCCCCACCACGTGAGTTGATCCTCCTTAGTTCTAGTCTTCTTGACCAAAACCTTGCATCATGTGAGAATTAAAGTCTGTTCTTTATTCCTGCACTATCCTGCACTGCCTGAACAGGTACATTCAGAGCAATATAAGTTGAAGCAAAACAAACGTATATTTATTTCACTTCAACTTATTGCACCGTGTGCACTAGTTCAAGTAGTGCAGGAATAAAGTTCCTGTTTCCTCCTTTGGAGAGAAAAGGAAGAAAGATGAACTGGTACAAAAGTTCAACCAAAAAGAACAGGGGCCTTATGCGGGGTCTACAATAGAAGTCGTAGCAGTCGTAGGGTCTTAAGTCGTAGAAAATTGACCAATCACAGTCGAATATGAGAAGAATAATCAACTGTGATTGGTCAATTTTCTACGACTTAAGACCCTACGACCGCAACGACTTCTATTGTAGATCCCGCATTATTCTTGAACAAATATCGCATACGAAAACAGCAATTCCGTATACAATCGACTAATCAAAGTCGAGAAACTATCATTTTCGTATGCGAAAATTATTTATATGTGCTCAAGAATAGGACCCCAGGCCTTATGGCTACGTTTAGGCCGGAATCAGACTACGCATTGAATATTGAGATTAAAGATTGAAAGATTGAAATTTGACCAATCAAAACAATAGGAGCTAAAATTCCTGTGTCCTCACTGGTCAAATTTTAATTTTCAATCTTCAATCTCAATCTTCAATGTGTAGTCTGATTCCGGCCTTACATCGTGCATTTAGGCCGCGGCCTATACAATATCTTTGTTTATCATGTATACTAAACAAAGACACCTATCGTATAGGTCGCGGATTAAGCGTACGCTGTAAACGTAGCCTATATCTTGAAACATGAGGTTTGTTCGCGTCGCAAACTCCAACATGCTCCTGCCATAGCTCCTATTCACTCTATCAAGCGCGTTGGAGTGAGTAAGAGCTATGGTAGGAGCATATTGGAACATGGAGCATACGACGCGAACAAACCTGGGACCCTATTCTTGAACAAATATCGCATACGAAATTAATAATTCCGCATACAATCAATCAGTCACTGTCGAGAAACTATTCGTATGCGAAAATTATTCGTATATAATCAAGAATAAGACCTCCTGAGGTGAAAATTACAAAAGTGAGCGAATTTTCTAGAACACTGATGATTTCATTGGTCAATATCTAGTAAGTTTGTTCACTTTTGTAATTTTCATCTTCGGTCTGTTCACGTTATATGAAATCCCCAAATATTTTTACATTTAAGGGGATCCTAAATTCGTCTGTATTACCGACTAAATCGTAATTTTTGTATAACAAATTCTTTTTTCCTCTTTCACAGATTCAAAAATCCTTTTCCAGGATTAAAATATACACATTAATACGTGTTTGTGAGGTGGAATTTAT